TCTCTCTCTCTCTCTCTCTCTCTCTCTCTCTCTCTCTCTCTCTCCATTGTACAATGCTATTATTGCTATTTATTACTGCTATTTATTGTACAATGATAAGTGACAGATACAATTTATTACACAGTGGTTACGCATAGATGAAAACGAGACATCTGTCGAACACCTATCGGCCGGGAGCACATCTTCAAAGAGAGAAGGCTCAGAAAATATCGGGGTGCAAAGTATGCAGATGGATGTACCGCCAATTGATTCTTTCACGCCGCTGGAGGCCGCTGCTATTTCGTGCGTGTTGCAAGAATTTCTTGAGCAACTCGCCACGTTCGGCTTCGTGATACCGGCCGACGTCGATCCGCGCTGGGACGACACGTTCAAGACGATCGACGAGACGTACGGGGTACCCGACGAGCCTAGAACGATCTTTAGAGAAGACATGGACTTGTTACCGCTGATACCTACCGCGAGTGAAAAAATGCAGAGAGACAGGTGCATTTGCAGAAACACGATTTGCAATTTGTTAATATTTCAAATATATGTGTAAACTAAGTAAGTAAAAAGATATGGTTCAAAAAATATAGTTCACATATAAACTAAGTAAAAAAATATGTAAAAAGTGAAGATAATCTTGTTTTTTTTACGGAAACAAAACGTTTTCGAAATTTTTATTATCAAATTTTATTGCTGTTTAAACACTGATTAATTGCACTTGTAACTTTTTCTGCTTAATCACTGTAACTGGTAAGGAAACAGTGAATACTGTTACGATGAACACTCTGTATAAAACGGTCTGCAATTTGTTAATATTCCAATTATATTCCAAGCGTATTCCGTGCGAATATTACATGCAATCTCTTTTTAGCACTGATATTGCGAACATTTATAATGGTATGTGCGAATATTTTTCGCGAGATCCGTCTAGGAACTATTTGCAGAAGGTTCTCAAAAGAATCTTTCGTGACGTGAGGTACAGCCGAAGATTCGACACTCTGCAAGAGGAAATTAATAATATCGCGAAGAAGCAAGAAGACGAGCATAATCTCGAGGTGAACGCGCAAATATGGCGTAGCCAAGCCGAGCAACTTCGGGAGTTGTTGGAGTCCGATAAAAAGGCGAACGAAGAAGACAGAAAGGAGACCACAAATCTCGCTCAGGAAAGCGACGCGCAGGTCGATCATGCGATATTCTTGAACAGCGCAAAACTAAGTAAGTGGGGATACCAGATAATCGCGGCGATAATCTCTCGATGTCCTAAGACGCGGTATTACACCCAGGTTACGCGGAAAGATGGGCAAAGGCTAGATTAGAACAACAGGATCTCAAACTGAAGCTGCAAAAGACGGATATACTGAACAAGCTGAGCAACTACACGAAGAAATATAGCGCCGAAGAAATTGTCTCGGCGGAGATAACCGCTTACTTAGAAGCAGATATAAAGGATAAAGAAGAGCAAGTAATCGAGTGGACGAAAAGATACAACGAGGAAATCGTGTTACGACAGCAGGAGATAGATAAGCTGAAGGTACACTCGAATATCGATGACGAATGACTTGAGAAGAAAAGAAACGTAATGTTCGTATCTTCAGTTTTTAGTTACAGAAGTCTTGAAATGTTCTCTTTTCGTCAGAATTTTCATATTTTAAAAATGAAATGAAAAATGAATTGAAGAGTTAAAATTAGTCTAGATAAAAAAAATTAAACTTTAAGGCTCCTGAGGAGTCGCATCATGCATCTCATTTTAATGACGTCAGAAGCGAGAAAACGCATGCTAAAAATTCCTGCAAAATACGTCGAGATAAACAGATATATCCACAAAACGACATTTGCGATCGATTAAGTACACTTCTAAAATACTCCGTACACTTTCCTTTTGTTCTAACAATCAACAGATAATTATAAAATAAATGTGATGTGCAATCGTCTTTTCTAACCTAATTTCTTCATTATCTTGTCATATTAATTTTCCGATTATCTATTGATTTTTAAAATAAAAGGAAAGTGTATGGAATATTTTAGAGGTGTATTTAATCGATTGCAAATGTCGTTTTGTGAATATATCTATTTATCTCGACGTATTTTGCAAGAATTTTTAGCATGCGTTTTCTCGCTTCTGACGTCGTTAAAAAGAGATGGATGATGCAACTACCCAGGAGCCTTAAGAGGATACCTTGTTTAAAATAATGGGTTTAATTTGAAGGCTGCTAGTAACTTCTAGAAATTGAAGAAATAGACATGCATATTGGCTTTGTTACTCTTAGTTGAACTGTCTACAAAAAAAAATTTAATACAAAAAAAATTTGATCCTACATATCTTATTTACGTTCCAATGCAACCCTACAGTATAGATAAGAGCAAACTTATTTCGTCCCAAGATTCAAACATGTATTTCCATCAGGATACTTCAGAAATCTATTTTTATCCGCGGTAGATAGAAATAGAAAAACAGAAATTTGACATAGAAGAAATGCGCGCTTTGAGAGACAAACGACAAGAATTTATCGATGAGTGCATCGCTGAAGAGAAGAGAATTCAGGAAGAGACGAGGTATCAAGAGAAGCTGAATAAAGCCGCGACTATTATTCAGACAATATGGAGAAGTTACATGGCACGGCATAAATTAGGGAAATACAAGGATTTAAAAAAACATATGAAGATTGGTAAAAAATCGAAAAAACCAAAAAAAGCGGCCGATAAGAAGAAAAGATGAGAAGTATGCTCGACTCTAGAAAGTTCGAAGAAAAAAGGCCTTGATGCCTGAGCAAATGAGAGATTTGATATTTTGATATATTTATAACTCGCATTTCGTTGAAGAAAGATTCCGCCTTTTATACACACTATCATATATACATATATAATGCCTCCGAGAGTTGTGTCTGTATAAATTATTCAAATATATATTTTTTAAACAAATATCAGAGAGATACAATATTTACAGATGAAGTTCCGACTCACATTCATGCAAACACGACAAGCGCACAGCATTGTTCTACATGTGAACATTACCGAGTATGAATACCCTTCGCGGAGTAATAACGAGATATAAATATTTACTGAATATAGTCGTATTCGTACTCGGTAAGCGCGTCATCACCGAGAAATGGCTCTCACGTTTATTCTATCTAATTGTCGCACGTTTTTAAGCTAAAACGAGTGAGTAGCCGCTGAAGCGAATCAGTGGCAGTATGATGATCGACTGTACATTCTTCGTTTGCACGGCGACATCTAGTACAACGATCACAATTGCGCGTATCACTAGCGTGTACAGATCGATAGTGTGCGGCGATTGAACAATTGCACGTAACAAACGCTCACGCGAATCCAAGTAGATCATCTTCATTGTATTCAGTCTGTATGCATGTACTAAATAACTGTATCATGATTCTTGCAGTACAGAAACTACCGGACGATTAAATTCTACATTGCGTCTTATTGAATCTTTCGGTATGCAACACGCCATTTCGAAATAAAAACGCTTGTACGGCAGCGTCGCGTACATGCGTTTCGAAGAGATATCCTCTAAAGGATCCTAAATTCTTCCTAAAAAAAGTTCATGATTTAATTTGATAGTCTCATCTCGCTCTATTTTGTATATCTTTATATATATAAATTTAATAGTCGCTCAAGACGATTGAATTAGGTAACGCGTTTATATTTCCTCGGCCATTGGGAGGCACATTTCTTGTCGAGTAAGCGTTGGTCATCAGAAATCGTTTCCCACTCCGTGATGCTGCCATACCGAAAAGGTCGAACGCGTTAAACGAGACGACACACGTCTGATATTACGAGATGGCCTGGCCGAGATAGTCTGTGCATACTAATCCATCGGTGTCACATATTACGATCTCCCGAGTCCGTTTAAACGTGTTAAACACACGCGATCTTCACCCACGAGGTAGTGAAATGAAATTCGGGCTAGAACGTCGCTTCCCATGTGATGGAGATAAAATTCGAGAGTAGTAATTGCTCTATTACAAGGATCGCGATGTGTTTAATTGAAGTGAAATTTAAACTGGAAGGGAGAACCGTGGAAGTGATGAAACTCTTGGAAGGGATTGAAGCCTTGTTGATGCCGGCCCGACTCGGGATCCAAAGGATCCTCGCCCTGATCAAATTTCGCCCTCTTCTCATCGTCCGTGAGGACCTCTTTGGCAGCGGCGATGTCGATGAACTTCTTTTGAGCGCGTTTCTTCTCGTCTCCCTCTTGGAAATTATCGGGGTGCCACTTCTGCGCCGCTTTTCTGTACGCCTTAATGATATCCCGCTTCTTCGCAGTTCTCGGCACACCCAAGATCTTGTAATAGTCCCGCGACTCCGACAACTTCTGACGTTGTTGCGCTTTTTGCAGCCCTTGCTTCGCCCGTTGGAAGTTCGGATCTATTTCCAACGCTTCCTTGAAATCCCTGATGGCTGTTGCAAAAAACATTTATCATTGAACAACAAAGAATATTTAATTTGATCATATCTCTTATATATTATTACAAATTAGTTAAAAATATCTAACTTAAACTTTTAAAATATTTAGATTGACTATCACTATTTAATATACAGTTGTTTCTAATATTATATATATGCTAAATATAAGTACTATTTTAGATCAATACATTTGGATACATATTGTACAGTTAGCTGATTAAAAATTGCAACACTTCCTCGATGAGCTTTATAACGCATCTCATATCAGATAAGAGAATTTATTTTTTCAGGAGATACATTTTCCTATTAGATACAAAATGCGTTGCAAAATCTATTGAGAGAAAGTGTTGCAGTCATTGATATAAGAATATCCAGATGGGGCATTCTACAAATGGGAAGTCTAATTAATGGAAAGAAAAAAGTTACGGTAAGTTCGCGTATTTTTACTTGACTTTTTCAGATACATTCGACTTTATACCAGCTTGCTTTAAAACCATGATATTGGCTACAAAAACTGTTTTAAAAAACTGTTGTAAAATTTGTGAATCCGCCTGAGATACATACTCTTAGATACAACCAAGACTAAGAGCATACATTAATCAGCTTCATGAATTTCACAAACAACAAACAGCTTTCTCTGCTGAATCACAGTTATTTATAACCAATTGAAATAACATTTCTGAAAGGATTCGCTACGTTTAATTTATTGTAAGTTGTCAATATGTTGTAAGATATACATAAGTAAAATAAGTACGTGTGCAAGCCAAAGTCACGAGTCAAGCCGAATAACCCAAAGTATTATAACTTTCCTTTCATAAATTGATATATTACCTAAATTAACAGTACATGCTCTAACCAGATATTCTCATTCTGATGCTTGCGATACTTTTAATCAGGCGACTGTATTAGCTTAATATAATTTTTTGTTTAATAAGTTTCTCTCTATAATATACCGCGTCTTGAGCGGCGCTCAAATGGCAAACAATCATTCGAAACAAATCATTCAAAAATTACCATCGTCGAACAATTCCGCAGCGAGATACGCCTCTGCGCTGTCGCAGATGACGCCCGGTTCCTTCCTGATCTTCAATGCCTCTTGACAATTGTTAATCGCGTTTGTGGTCTCGGAGATGCCAGTGTAACACTTGCAGAGAAGATGGAAAGCTGTGAACCGCACATTTTGCTCTTCTGGCTCCTGCGTCAACACATGACGAGCCGATTCGACACATACGTCGTAATCCTTCGTATCCTCTGACGCTTTCTCTGCATCCTGTAGCAACTTGCTGATTTTTCTAATCTTTTTGTAGAATGGGAAACATTCCTTATGGTCTGGGTCGAGCTTCAAGCATTCTCGAATTTCCCTAAACATGCATTACCAAGTTAATGTCATGTTAAACACTAACATCAATGATAAATGACTGCTAAATCCTTTGCTTCTTACTTACTTCAATGCTTCCTCAACTTGCCCAAGACGATATAACCATAATGAAAGCTTATAAAACCCTTCTGTATTGTCAGATAATAATTTGGTAGTTGAACGTATATCAGATATAGCACTCATATAATCTCCAAGAGCCAAGTAGCTCTCAGCCCTACGTTCTCTAAGATGAGATGACCATGGACATACTTCAATGAGTCGTGTGATATGGTGCACAGCTGCTGTATGATCACCATTGTGCACCAACACGTCGATATATTTAATATCTTCCCTAGCTGGATATAGCTTATCTAAGGCATTCAAGGCATCTCTATTATTTGGTTCTACAGATAGCTGCAATGAAACAAGAAACATGAGCACGAGTTATCATATATGCAAAAATAATGTAAATCCAAAGATAACACACCACATCCATAAAGTTGGCTTCAGCCTCATTGAAGTTGGCTTGCTTAAGTAAAATGTTACCACGCTGCAGTCTTGCTGGTATAAAGCCTGCATTCAATTCCAGAACCTTGTCAAGGTCATTGAGAGCAAATTTGGCTTTACCTAGAGCTAAGTAAACTGTTCCTCTCTTGTAGTGTGTCAAGTAATTGGTTGGATCGCCATCTAAAAGAAATTTATTTTGATACATTTATCCGCGCTGGTCCCGGGGCGATAATGATCTGTTAAACATATACTTCAAGACATTTCAAAACCGGTCTCGCACCACATTATGATTCGGACTTACCGACAGCTGCATGATAATGTGACAGTGCATCTTGTAACTGGCCCTTTGCCAAGAACTCCCTGCCGAGCTCTAAATGCCTATTGATCTCCAATTGAGAAACACTTCCTACGACTGAAAAGCAACTTCGTTATTAATCGTGCGTGGGCAGGTGTCGTGCTGATTTATTTAAACGCGAGAAAGGTTAGGACCACGTACCGTCTAAAGTGATATATAACAGAGCTGCTAACAGGAGAACGTACATGACTGAAAAGAAACCGATCCACCGAGCGCAACGAACAACGTTATAAATAAGAAAATCGACACGATCGCGCACCGAGAAACCAACACCTATCCGGCCGATAACACAAAACCGTTCAGCCACGCCGCCATTGCGATCGTGGTCTCACGCGATTGGTAATACGAAAAGCCATGCCTTCCCCACTACTATGATTCAAATTTGATAGAAACCCAATAAGCATCGAGGAACAGCACAGAACAGCAATATTACCAGAGAGAAACCTGAGGGTGGAGTCCCATGGCACATATTTTCGCGTAACGCGTAACCAATCACATCTTTCTATTCTTCTAGAAGTTCCAACAGAAATACTAAACGTCGCAATTTATTGGTTACGCGGTACGCGGAAAATATATGTCATGGGACTTCAGCCTGAGAGCCACCAGCTTGATTTGGCTGCGTTCAGATTTCCCACCCGGGTATATTTTATTACTAGGTTGCATTCCAAAACGTTCTTTTTGAGGAAAATTTTACTCAATACCTACAGTTTACGTTACATAAACTATAGAGTTTCGAGTAAAATTTCCTCAAAAAGGATGTTTTGGAACGCAAGAAGTGTTATAGTATATATAACATATACTATAGTGTTTCTAGTAATAGAGTGCACCCGGATGAGGAATTTGAACGCACCCTTTAATGGCCAGAGCTAGGCGCATTTTCGAAGTGCCATCTAACAAAGTGCGCCTTTACTACGTTCGTTAGGCACATTTTCGCGATGGTAACGAAATATGGTTCGTGCCCGTTAACTTCCATACAACGATAGTAAGTTAGAAAAGGACAGACATCCAATCGCTCTATTCTTGTCTCACAACTGATGAGCGGACATAGACACGAAGCGAGTTAGCGGCAAACTTCCCAAGTAGAACAGGTTGCCTATTGGTTAACGTTCTTGAAGTTAACTTTTGGAACGTATATATAAGATAACAAGTTAATGTCAATAATTCGTTTCCATTAATATGACATCGATTAAACAACAGTTTACAGTTGGTTAATATCTAGTTCATTTACGCATCTTACAGCTATCATTTAGTATATATTTCATTTGTATCCATATACCAACTTGATACTTTTATATCTAAATGATATCTTTGGATATTAAAAGTTATCTTTCGGGCGGACATTAGATAACCTTTTCAGTAAATAGAAACTTAACTTTTTTACCGAAAATAAAGTTATCCTGACCTAATATAGTAAAATGGAATACTTTAAGATAACGTTGTTCTACTTAGGTTATCACAAAGCTAGATCGTCTCTCATCAGTCTCGTCTTTCTCGCGCTGTGTTCTGCGAAATTTTGTAAGGAAATAGGATTTGAAAACTGGACAATATGAAACAATAAATAAATATACAAATTTACAAACATGCCGCTCATATTTTTTGCTTATTTCTCGGCAGCCACAAAGATATCGATGTATAACAAATTGTTTTCTTTGAATCACATCGATATCTTTTGTGGCTGTCGAGAAATAAGCAAAAAATATGAGCGACATATTTAAACTTGTATATTTATTGTTTCAGATTGTCCAGTTTTCAAATCTTATTTTCTTGCAAAATTTCGCAGAACGCACCGCGAGAAAGATGACTGATGAGAGATGATATAAGATACGGTCCAGCGGGCGCTGCAAATGCTTTGTAGCGTTTTTACTTCTTTCTCTTTCTTCATTCGAATCCGAGTAATAGAACAAGAGGGAGAAACGCTGCGCAGCATTTGTAGCGGTTGTTGGACCGCACCCTTAGTTTTGCGATAATATCGCCGCTAACTCGCTTCGTGTCTACGTTGCGCGGTCCGCTCATCAGTGATAAGACAAGAATAGAGCGATTAGAGATGGGACATCGAACAGAAATAATAATAATAATATTATAAGCTATAATCGGTATCGGTATAGCCCATCTCTACTGTATGTATCGAAAAGAAATAATCGATTATAGTTATAATCGGTATCAGTATCGCCCATCTCTAAAAGCGATTGGACGTTTGTCCTTTTCTAATTTACTATCGTTATACGAAAGTACAACGGGCGCGAACCAGGTGCATTTTACCGTTACCACCGCGAAAATGCGCCGAACGTAGTAAAGGCATACTTTGTTAGATGGCGTCTTGAAAATGCGCCTAGCTCTGGCCATTGAAATCAGGCTGGTGCCGCTCTCATGCTTCTCTCTGCCACTTCAACTTCAACTTCAATATTTGGCTCCAGGCCTCTCTAAGAATTATGTCCTAACGCCATTATTCCAATTTATGATATATTTCGAGAGTAAAGTCTTGGAAAATTCCAAGACATGTTCCAAAAAATCACAAGGTCTAAACTTGTTTGAACATTTTTTCTCTGTACCACAAATCAGGCGCGTCGTTACTTCAATAATCGATAGCGGTCACAACTCAATAAGCTCACATCGATCATAGATCGATTATGTAAAAATAACCGTTCGAATCTCGCTTGCATATGCATTTCACACGATACATCAGTATATTACGCATATCATATAACAAAATTATGTATCCATAATTGTGTATATAATATTACACTAAATATATATAGTTATAGTTTGATTTAAAGAATTATTAATAAATATGTATCGAAAACGTATATACATTTATCAGTTTTCATGCTAAAAGCATATATCCAGGTAGAACACAAAATCATTTTGATGTCAAGATGATATCATTTTAACATCAATGGCTGCGTTTAGCAGAGAAAGCTGCTTTGCAACTGTTGTAAAATTCGTGAATCTGATTGGGGTATGCTCTTAATTTTGATTGAATGCAAGAGCATGTACCAATGAGATTTACGAATTTTACAATAGTTGCAAAGCAGCTTACTCTGTTGAACGTAGTCATTGTTATGAAATTGTCATGAAAATGATATCGTTTGATATCAAAATGACATCACTTTTATATCATTTGACGTCACTTTTACTTTTATATGACTTTGTGTTCTACCTAGGTATAGAAAAATCATGGTCCTCATATATGGAGAATTTCATAGTAAAAATTACTATAAATTTTGTAACGGAAAAATAGATCACACGTGCGCGACATTTTCTGCGCTAATTGACTTCATTCCGTGTGAGCTACTTGTGTAGTTTAGAAATTAAAATATGCTATTAAAAAATTTGCTATATTTCTAGAGAGATTTACTATGTTTCTTAGCAAGATAGATTTTGACAATCTTTGCTTGTGTGTGTGCACACCCTGCTAGAAACATAGTAAAATTAAAGGAAATTCTTATAAAAAAAAACTATATTCTATCCATATATGCAACAAAATTAAATTCCTCCATCTCCATATAGTCATAAAAAAAGAAGAAATTATGGCCGAAAAAAATGTGCGATAATAAAAACATTAGAAAAGAAAATAAATCTACTAATACAAATTATTAACGATTATTAAAGATCAGTTAAAATAGAGAATTATTAAAGATCAATTAAATAGAGAATACTGATGCATCGTCGTCGGTCGTTTGTTTTTTTGGAAAACGGACAAGGGATTTCAGGTTTTCGCATCTAGACCGACCAATCGATCTTGCAAAAAAGGATCTTATCCTTCACTGTTTTCTTATACTTTACAGATATAAATATTGTAAATTTATATCACTCTCTCGCGTATCTTAGGTTATAGATTCAGGAAAATATTTTGAAAAACAACTCATTACCATTGCTGTTATTCAAGAATAATCGTTATAATTTTACTTCTGTCCATTTCATGTAAATATATTATACGTGCCCAAAAAACAACGATTATATTCGTTACCGTTACTCCAAAAATATAACTGCGTTACCGTCGTTATAAAACAAAAAGAGCTGCATTATTACAAAGTTGTTACTGAAAAAAGCAATTCGTAACGGTAATGGTGTTGCAAGGAATGGGTTACTTCCCTGCTTGGGTTCCAGCATGCGTGTCTCAATAGAAATAACAAGAGCAAATCTTATGTGTGATTCTTTTGTAATCTTTATTATATTCATTTTTGTAGAAGTCTCCTGTCACTTCTTTCTCTTCGCATAATACTATAAACGGAAAAATTCACCGAATGAAAGAACATTGAATTAATACGTGCTGATCCATCGTCCCGTATGAGGTATTTTTTTTTTTTTTGTAACAATATTGACATTCTACATCATTCTTCACGGAGCATACGTTAAGATCTACGCATGCAAGAAGTACGTGTACACGCGCTTCGCGACGCGCACAATAACTTATTGCTAATGATAACGATAAGTGTACGACGCATTGATGAACTTCCTTTCTTGTTTGATCAATTTCTCGCTGTCACCTGTTCATTTCCATTTGTGTGAAACACTTTCTCTCTCCTTACTAATTTGTTCAATATACACAGGATGTCTGCGGATCTGTATGCATCTGTTTAAAACAATCGTACGAAGATAGAGACACAAGACAACATAACGAAACTTCTTCGTCACTCTTTACGTAGAGTGCAAGCGAATGAAAAATCTTCCTCTTCATTTTCCAGAATCATTCATTGTTTCGGGTTCCAGAGTCATTCATTGTTTCGGGTTCTTTAAGTGTAATCATATATTCACACAAATAAATTCCAACAGTCATTCCGCGCAAAAATATGAAGATAAGGTCTCCACACACGCAAAACCACACAAAACGCATTTTATTAAATATTAAATACTAAAATCATTCAGTAAGTACAAATGATAATATTTGTACTTCATATAACTATATTTTTAAACAAAATCGAATTCATCCATACCCCCCATAAAGTATGCGCATATATTATATAAATTTTATAGTAGCACTTCCGAATATAATAGGCATTTTTTCATTGTAAGTTTCGTAATATATTTCATAATATAATTCGTATTTACATTACTTAACCTAACCATACTTCATAACTATATACCATACTTTTTATTTATATGTTTTTCTTGCAATACTCTCTAAATTTCTTGAAGTGGAATCGCGCTTAAAACGAGTGGAAAACAGTAGTACTTTCACTCGAAGCGATAATATATACTGCCGCTCGAAATCGCAGGAATGAATGTTCTCATTCAAGCTTGGAGCTGACTCCATATGAGCGAATGTTTCCATCAATTAGAGTGAATATCGTTGTGACGATGTGGTACATATACCATAGTCCGTATTCTTCAAATAGTTGCTTACAATAGTTGCTTAGTATGTTTCACTGCGCAGCTATTTTATGATACGATTATATTATTGTGCGCGATAAAACTTACGTATACGCAACTATTTCAAGAATATGATGCACTTTTTGGTTTCAAGTGATAATATTTACTCGATGACTTAGAGTAAAGAATTTCTTCAACATATAAATGAAAAATCACTCAAATTCAAGTCATTCGGCGTCACTCTATTTTTAAGTAAAATTTTATCCCAAGAAATTCAGAGAGTACACATTCGTTTTTCCAAGCAATCCAATTTTTAATCACCTCATCCTCATATTTTTATCAGCAGAATGAGTGAAATGACTGAACCCAAATAACACGTTTTTGTTTAAACAACTCACGAAACACGTCCGCGTTATTTTGAAAAGGTAACCCAGTAAACATGCATGTCTAAAATATGTCGAAAAGATATCTAAAAGACGTCTTATGCAACAAAATGTTGCATAAAACATCTTTTAGATATCTTTTCGACATCTTTTAGACATGCATGTTTACTGGGAAGAATGCGATTTTTCCTTCAATACCATCAGATCCTACGTAAGAAATGATAAAGTGAAGTTCCGTTACATCTCCCCTTGCATCTTACGCCGTCCGACGATCACTTCGCGACATATGAATTCGCAGACATCCTCCATACAACAGCCGTACAATGTACAATAGTTCCCCGGAACATTCGTTGATATCTTTGTTCGCATTATTCGGTTACGCCTACTTTAGCGCGTAACTGTGCAAGTTACTAATAAAAGACCGACAGAATGGTACGTTCACCGTTCCGTTAAAACTCTCTCTTTCTCTCCCTCTTCCTTTCTCTCTCTCTTTCTTTCTCTATCGCTTGAAAGATACTTTCGCTCGCTGTGGAGTGAAGTAAACGTATAACGGTCTCATTACGAGATTACAAGTAAAAATAACATGCCCAGGAACATCGCACGCGACGAATCTCTCTCTCGCTTGTCGTGCACGTGCATTCGTGGATAGAAAAGTTGTCTGTAATTTTTGGGATGAGTTTGTGAACTCGTTCGCGTCTTGTCGAATGGGAGAAACCTTTGAGAAATCTCTCTTGAAAAACAAATTGAGGACAAGACAGTGAGTTGACAAATTCACCTGAAAAAAATCAGAATCTTTTCGTTCGCGATTCTACACACGCAGGTGGAAAATGTTGCGAGAGTTCGCGATTCAAACATTCGAATTCGCTCTGCTGAACTCTATACTCTCTCTTCCTCTCTCCCTCTGCCTTTCTCATCGTATATCTACGATGATACACGTACGACGGTCCTCGGCGAAATTAAAATATTCGGAACAAGTTAAGAAGACATTTCTTTTGCCATCCCACCACTCTCATTCGTTTGCTCATGTGGGTGTATGTATGTATATAATGTGTGTATGCGTTGGTGTGTGTATTCTTTTGAGAACGCGCGCGCGCGCCGTCTCCGCGTACGGTCTTCCCGAGTTTCCTTTTTGGGATTTCTTTTGTTTCTCTTCGTCGTCTTTCTGGAGGCTCAAATCTCGGGAAAAGGAGGAACACCGCACCGTCAGGCACGCGCACCCGATCTTGCCGCGGAATCCTCCTCGACGAGGACACCATCTCGTCGGAGATTGTCCGTCATCTCTCCGAGACGCGCGCGTAGAATGAAAATTAATAAAAAATACAAAACCTAACATTCGCACGCGAATAAATTCTCGCTCTCTTTTTCGCTTTCGCTCGCTCGCTCACTCTCTCTCTCCCTCTCTCTCTCTCTCTCTCTCCCTCTCTTTCGCTCTCTTTCTCTCGCCGCGACTTATCGACGCAGTTTTATTAGATTACGCGCAGCATATCGCGTTACATAAATACGGCTTATAATGTGTAATGTGTTTTTCGCGGAATCACGCAATTTTTGTTTTCCCCTCAGTAATGATTGCAGTCACAGTTCTTCTTCTATTTTTTTTCTCGGCTTTTTTAAACGCCTATTCATCATGATTGATACTCGTATTATCTCCTCTTTCGTTTTACTTATTTTCGTTTTCTTCTTCTTTTTTCTGTTGCTTTTCATCGTATTCTTTAAATTAATCTTTCGTCTGATCGTTCCGTTCTTTTTTAAATATATCCGTAAAAGTGTTTCCTCAAGGCTGCTCGTCCGATATACTTCAGAGGACTAAACATGACACGAAAAGTACACGTACGATACATAATATATTTATATTGTTCCTTCCGAAACACAGTAACGTAGAAAATAAATACTAAATCGATCAATAAATAGTAATGATTTATTATATCGTTCGCTATTTCTTCTAAATACGCTAACACACTATAAATCATATCGTATTTTTAATTTATACATATGTCGGTTATCACACGGTGGACATCCGACTATCTCAGCAGGAACACACGTTCGACAATTCTCAAGTCCATGAATGACATTACGTCCTGAAATATTTATAACTCAATAATGAAGCGAAAATTCTACCGATCAGCGCATGCGATCGCCAATGCATTATATTCCACTTTAAAAGGTTCCTAAGTACTCGCCGGCCATATTGAATCGTGATGTCACACGCTGAGAGTTCTTGCGTACCAAGCAAAAAGATATTTGAGTGAAAGGACACTTCAGATCGTTTGAGCATACTTGTAAGATGTTCTTGAGACCATTATTTTCACTTGACAGCTAATAAATTGCCGTTACATCATTAATACGACGAAAAGATAAGGTTGCATGTCGCATGTTAATTTTACGATTATTTATTGGCTGTTGAGGAAAAAGAATACACTGATAAAAAAATACTTGAGAATTTATTTGTGTGGGATACAAAGTTTATTCACGGAAATAAACTTTATTTCACAGAAATCTTATAACTCGTAAATAAATTTTCAAGTACTTTATTCTCAGTGTATGCTTAGGTGTATGTTCTTTCATACAAATATATTATCATTTGAAAAAACCACACAAATATTTTGGGCATCATTTTCATGCTTCTAACGTCATCAGTCAACAGTTGCGCGGCGAGATACCACGGATCTTAAATCGAAGATAAACGAAAAAGAGCGAGGAACACTCGATAGTACGGAAATGACATCAAGTGTAATCACGCTGCATCAAATACTCTCTGTCCACCATGTTGAATGTAAACAAAAAGTATCGTATATTCCGAAATGCATAGGACTGATTAAAACGCGTAACGCGCGGCGCATCACGAATGCTTACGCATCGGTGGTGCGGTTGGACTTCGATCGTAAAGTTGCCAGAACTGAGCTCACATTAAACTCTAATCTTTTTCGATCTGTCTCCGCTCGATAACAAATAATTGCAAATCATTCTTGTAGAATCTAGACTAGTTTTTATCGAAAACTCATTGTATCGTTTTTCGTGATATCACTTATAATAGCGAAGCTATGAATCATCCGAGTCCAACGACCACCGGGTGCCTATCTCCTCTCCTGTCACATTTTATAAAATAAAGTAATAAAGTAAAAATAGAAAAGACGTCATGCAAAAGCTTGCGTATGTGATACCAGTCTCTGAACCGATGGAAATTCTCTTGCGAAATGATACATGTGTGTACACATCAGTACGGCGAAACCTGTGCTCGTTGGCAGACCGGAAGTCCCAACCGATGGTTGCCGTAGGGTCTCATCCAACACGACATGACACAGTGACAGGACACGGCACGGCACGGCACAACACGGTGACACGACACGGCACGGCACGGCACGTCGAGTCGAGTCGATGTATCACTGTCCACGAAAGATTCTCTCCGTAATGTTCTTGGCAGGGCCTCCGAGAGCTGACAGATAGCCTCGATGACGAATCGTATGAAAATTTGCAAACACTCGCATCATGGTCGGAAGCCAACGATATTTATCCGTTAAACACACTACCCCTTGAATGTTCTAGATGAAATAATTATCGTCCCTCTTAAGAAGAGGCATTCACACACCTTGGTCCACGGTCACACGGCATACGATTCACGCACGCGATTGCACTATATAAATCTAGGTAATATAACAGGTATAAGTATGACATGTCTAAAAATCCTGTTAGTTGTGACGCAAATCGAATTTGTACTTTTTCATTTCGCGTAGATTACAGATAAGAATCCGACGTTTGCACGAAACGATATCGACATCTTATAAAGCCCTACCAACATCATCGTAATCATCTTTTTTTTTTGTCATCAACCAGTAATGACTCGCGAGCTCGCGTCACGCTCTCTCTCTCTCTCTCTCTCTCTCTCTCTCTCTCTCACACCTACATCATTAATGCGCATTTATTTTAAGCAGAAACAATGCCCTAGAAAAGTCCCATGGGACCGCAAGAGCTAGCGTTCAGCCCTCCCCGATCGGACAACAGCCACGTTGTCTTGATGTGTTTACTGTTTAACGACTTAATATTCTGTTCTCGGCTCAAACAACTGAGCTCTAGTACCTTCCCGACATTCAATACCGATTAATTAATACATTTAACCATTTGTTACTCCATTAATTGTTCATTTATCAATTCGCGTGGAAATTGAATGTCACAAGATCGTTCGATATCACAGTCGTTTTTCACAATTATTTTAGTGTTTATGTATTTATATATAGCGTATCATACTGATAAATACAGCTATAAAATAATATGAGTGCGCCCCGTATGTCTTTCAAAGGGGCTTCTGTTGCTTTCTTTTTACTTTTCCCTTTTTTTCCTTTTCGTATGAACTTGAGCCCGCTATCGTGCAAAAGCATCTCTTCTCTGCTCTTTGCTTTGATAACCTCTCTGTAACTGCAACCTTATTTTCAAACTCGTCAACTCGGTATAATTTGTCTTTCATGAGCACTCGCATTCGCACATTCAGTACTGTAGACTGAGACAGGCATTTCTTTTTGTTTTCCTTCTTATAAAGCGTCGTACCGATTTCGCAGGGCAACGTCTTCGTTACGTTTAGAAATGCTACCCGAAGCATGATTCTATATGGTATCAACGTAGTTCTGCCACAGAACTATTCAAAAATTCAGGTACATAAAATATACATATATACCTGCTTCCCACTAACGTATTTTAGCCGTTTTTCGCTCGTACAGCAGAATCTCCACCTCAGAACTTACACGATCAATGGAAATTTCGTATATTTTTGGCCGTGAAATTTAATTTCCGTTAGGAATCAATATTTAGGATTTAGATATTGCGAAGCTCTTGAGTACATAACACTTTAAACTTATTCTGGACACTTAAACGAGAAAATAGAACAATTCAAAATTTACACGTGATTCTCTAATAAACTTATCTTTACATAAGAACTTTACATAAGAAATACACAAATTTTCATTGTAATAGGAATTAGAAAATTAAGAGTGTGATCACAACGAATATAGAGGTTCTACTGTACCTAGCTAGTTATAAAAATAACCCGGCTGCCGGCTGTAAACTGCGCAAACATCGTCTTGAAACTTTTTTAAATTAGAAATGGTAGAGTGTGTACGTGTTTGTGTGTATATATAAGACTATAACGGAAATGTTACAAGATTTCTAAAGGTATGCTAAGACGTAGCCTGTATTGCCATTTTTCCCTCTTTCTTTCTTTCTTTCCCTCAATACCGTTTTTCGATCCCCGAAAAATTCACGTGGCTTATTTCAGGAAGCCGTGATATTTGCCGGCGCAACGTCGTCTGTTTCTGGGGACGGCAAAACAACAAAGTACCATTCGTCGCTAAACTACGTACTAGTAAATTATACAGACAAAAAAAATAAAGTTTGTCGTCATGTGAACTACGGCAACGGTGGTTTGGCGTATCCTAGGCGTTTGAAATGAACGTACACGTATGTCTATAACCCAAAGGAATTATACCATCCATTCAACACGGAATTATACGCAAAACTTTTTACTGGCCATTGTAACAGCAAAGGCAATAAAGCGTTTGTGCATCGAAACGTTCACGATCGCTAGACGCCACGATTACCGAAGATACGCTCACCGCAACCTCTACAAAAGAAAAAAAAAAATAATAATATAAAGACTAAAGCTACTTGTAGCTGAGCGCCATAGTTTCGACAGGAGTTCTAAAAAATTTTACTAGATTTCTCCACTACTACGTGTTACATCGTTAATTTCCTTCGAACGGACATTAACGATATTTTATCAACTTCTTTCTTTTTTCCTTTTCTTTATCAACTTTGATTCGTTAGTGATTATACTACTTGTGTTCGTCAGCACGCGCGGCAACGAAATGTTGGATGGATTTCTAACTATAGTAGTAGTAGTATTAGTATTAGTAGCAATAGTGTCTGAACAAATCCCATTTACGATACTCGCATGTTTCATGGTGAGATCATTTACGTTCGAAATATTCCCCCTCGGCGACTCTCCGCCGGCGTGAATACTCAATTGCACACAGGATTTGTCAATGTCGCACGTGAACAAATGTAATATAAATGGAATTTAAACAACGTGAGTTCCTTTCCTTTTGTTTCCCATCGAAAAATCGGAGTGCACGGGCAGTCAGCGAACGTGGGTGTGTGTTTATACTGTGTGAAACTGTCTGTGTTCTACAGTGTACAGCCGGCGTCAAAATAATCAAAATTATTTTCTTGTCTCTTCTTTTCTAGATTTTTTTCAGATCTCTGTTGACCATAGGACGCTATTATATATTGTCCTGTGTTCATCCATCCTTTCTTTATATAACCACTTTTTTACGTTCCAGTGGAGAACCCGTGGAGAAGAACCCGTGAAGAACCAGCACGGAATTATTTTGACGTAAATTGAAGATAATAATAATAGTTACTGAAGCATTAAATATAATACCTCCGTTTAGGCGAGTGATTCAGTACATAAATATTGTACTAATCTAAGCTATCTAATACGTTTGATCTTCTAGAACTATAGTTATTAGCCTCACTTTACAGGAAAATAAAACCGTATAACTCATTCATAAAACGAAAAATGCTCAGTACTTCTGACGCCGGCTATACATGTAAACGCACGCAAAACATATGTGTAGTGTGTGTGTACGATGTATAATGTCGTGTTTCCCTTACATATAATTTAGTTTAGGTGTAGAGTAATAATAATAATAATGATGATAGAAATAGAGTTGGAAATAATCGCCTACTTATCCCACGCTCCCCACCAGTCTGGGCCATTGCTACTGCCGTTGTTAGTGGAATTATTGTACGATGAATTATTATAATTGCCTCCGTAATTTGAATAACCACCTGGAACAAGGAGGAAAATAAAAGTTCCATTTTTGCTCTTTCCAATAAAGTATTCGAATCATCATCATGACCGCGAATACTTTAACAAATTTCATTGCCAAATTTAGAAACAATTTTCATCATCAGTCTTCTTTTGTTTATACAAGTATTCCATTAAAATAACAGCTTTTTCATACACTTACCTCCGTAACCGCCTGGTCTAGAGGAGCTATTGTTACGAGCGGGACCGGAACTAGGTTGCTGACGATAATCTCTCGCACCGAAACCACTGAAACGTCCCTTAGTACCGCCACCGCCGCCGCCGCCGCCGCCGCCGCCGCCGCCACCGCCGCCACCGCCACCAGGACGTCGAGATCCGCCTCCGGAATATCTCGCTTCAGTATACATGTCGTCCAACCAGGGTGGAAGTTCTTGATTAGCTTCGATGAGCAGGGACACCAAATCACGTACCAGATTGTGATTCTTGTGATTGAAGAATGACGTTGCCAGACCTATTGAGGAACGAAACGCAATGTAATTTTAGTATCAATGTAATCTTACTTTGCAAATGGATAGGTGACGATGGTCGGATCCAAAGGAAGATAAAGAAACAAACCTAAATTGCCCATACGACCAGTACGACCGATACGATGGACATATTCTTCAACATCACCGGGTAAGTCGAAGTTGATGACGTGTTTAACGTGTGGTATGTCGAGACCACGCGCCGCCACAGCAGTTGCTACAAGAATTGGTGCTTTTCCGGCGCGGAAGCGGCGCAAAGCTTCCTCTCGTTCACGCTGAGTTCTATCACCATGAATGCTAGTCACCGGATACCCCATTTGAGCCAGATATTCTTCGAGCATGTCGGCTCCTTTTTTTGTTTCCACGAACACTAGAGTGAGCGACTCCGCGGCTGCACAATAAAAAATATAGATATGTTTGACATTCAATATGGCTGAATTTACATACTTTCGACATAATCAATCAGCAGTAAATCTAAGTATCTATTAGCGCTGTAACTTACTAGGATCAGTAAAGTTGCTGGCTTGCAACAAATCGAGCAAGTATGAACGCTTATCGTGCTCTTCTACCCACACAATCTTCTGCGTAATATTCTCGGAAGTGGAGCCCACGCGACCAACAGCCAAGAAAATGTAGTTACTAAGAAAATCTCTAGCCAACATCTGAATCTCCTTCGGAAAAGTAGCGGAGAACATGAGAGTCTGTCGCTCTCCAGTCGGAGGCATATTATCTTCTTGGACAATGCGTCTTATTTGTGGTTCGAAACCCATGTCCAACATACGATCTGCCTCATCGAGAACTAAATATCTGAAACATTAAGAACATATGAATGTATATATACAATCATATACTTTTGTTTAATCCCATATATATACATGCATTTCAAGATCCCATAAAAGGTCAGGTGTATACGAAGTTTTGAAACGGTTTGTACACTTTTTCGATGTAACTGAGAACGCAGTCAATGGATATCAAAAAGCTTAACTTTTTTGAATTAATAAAAAAACAAGTTCTCTCATTAGACCATCAACTGCGTTCCAAACTGCGCATTGGAAAAAAAGTATTTCAGCCGTTCTGAAACCTAAAATGTAAACACATACCGGCAATTGTGTAAGCCGATTTTGCCGCGTCCCAGCATGTCCACCAGACGTCCGGGCGTTGCAACGAGCAAGTGGCAACCGCGATCTAATTCGCGCATTTGGTCTACTATATTGGAGCCGCCATAGACGACCGCAGGACGCATACGCGACCTGTACGCGAATTTGCGTGCCTCGTCGTAAATTTGCGTGGCAAGCTCTCTCGTGGGCGCCAGTACCAGACCCAGCGGGTACTGTTTGCGTCTGCCGGAGGAGTTCGCTTGCGGTGGCGGCGGACGCGGTCCACTCTCGTAAATCTGATTTAAAATTGGCACTAAAAAGGCCGCTGTTTTACCGGACCCTGTTTGGGCGCAGGCCATTACGTCACGGCGTCCGATAATAATCGGAATCGCGTACTTCTGCACTGGCGTAGGCTTGTCATATCCTGCCAAGGCGATGCTGTTCTTTATTATCTCCGTCAGCTTAACCTCATCAAACTAAAAACAAAGAGAAGACAATGAATCACAGTTCTGCAGGCAAGAGAGATCCGCGCTAATACTGAGAGCGTTGTCCTTCGTGGATCTGCTGAATACTCACGGATGTGATGTGTGGAGGTATGTTCTCTCCTGTAGCCTCAACTGGGATATCCTCGTATTTGCTAAAATTGATCCCAGTATTTCCAGAGCCGAAAAGCTCCACCTCCAATCGTTCATCTCTGCAAGTGGGAATTGTCCAGTCGACTTCGCCTCTTCCGCCGCCTCTGCCGCCTCTATCGTCGCCCCAACGGCCGCCGCCGCCGCCGCCGCCACCTCCCATTCTGTCATTTCTGTTCTCTTGCCAACGATCGTTTCTCGGTTCTTGCCAGCGATCGTTGCCGGAACTAATCGGCCGATCGCGCTCGGAATTGGCATATCTGTAATCCCTTCCATTCTCTTGACTGCGTCTATTGCGTCCACCGAAGCTCCCAAAATTCGCGAAATCGATGTCACGGGGACTACGCGAATCCCTGTAACCACCTCTGCCCCTGTCCCTGTCCCTGTCTCGTTCACGATCACGATCGCGATCTCCGCCTCTATCTCGATCGCCGAACGGTCTCGAGTTGGAAGAGTATTGTAAATCCGACGGTGCGTTACCTAATCAAATAAATCAACTTTAAGTATATTTTTTTAAGTATATCACAATAATAAAATTATCTCATATTTCGGCATCCTTATCGTCGCTATTCTATGAACTAAGATCGAGAGTCTACTGGCCTATATACTCTCTCATCAGTCTTGGCTCTCGATCAATAATTTATAACGTTTGATACTCTGCCATTGAACAGTAAACTCCAATGAATAGATTCATAATAAAACTACTTGTCATTAATTTTCTCACTGCACAAAAAAAACTCTAAAATATAATATATATACACACAAAAAAATGTATATTGCATTTGAATGAATATTACTTCTTTCAAGTATTTCATATGTCTATATATCTATTATGAGTTCACCATAAGCATCAAATTTATTCAAGATACATTCTAAATTCAAGTTTAGCATTTCAATAAAAGATATTAAATTAAAACAAAAACTACATTTGTTTACTACATAGAATTAAACTGAGTTTTCTTTCAATAAAGTTTTACAATATCCTTGCAAAAATAATCAATTCTTTTGAATATATAACAAAAAACTAATCTTTCCTAAAATTTGTATGTATTTTAGATCATTGTCGAGAAAATATTCTTTGTTGAAGATAACCATTAGATAACCATTGAATGAAGTAATTGCTGTTTTTAGCAGTAAAATATTTTTTTGTGTGCACAATATACACAATAGTTGTGTGCATATCGAGATATGCTACAAAAACAAAATACTTTTAAGGTACTTCTAGGGTAACACAAATTATAAAACATAAAAAGAGTGAAACACATTGCCAAGTGTTTATACACGTGGATAGCAGCAAAATCATTAATTTAAATGATGCACAATTAGATGCCACATATTTGTGAGAACTTAAAGAGATTGTTATACTAACTTCCAGCTTTATGACGCAGATGCGGTGGTACGTAGCGACCCCCACTTGGCTGGCGGGAGCCCTGCAAGTCCAGACCAGCTAACTGAGGATGACAAAAAGATTCGAATTAAACATCTCGCGCATCACGAATATCACGAAACGCATAGATTCGCATAGACGAAGCTATCGTTGTCCCGAGTAACGGTGTCCCGTCTCCCGGACTGACGTCGTGAGAAATCCCCACCGTTCGCGCGCGACTCGCGGGCAATGCCGTCGCGAGAATCCAGAGTGCGTCGAGGAAGAAAAAATACTGTGCAAGAATGCGTCATGACACGAGGCATGCCGTTCCCGGAATCGCTTGCCGCCATTACAAGCGTACGTCACGAGCTGGCCGAGTGACTACCCATGATACTCGAGGGAACAGAGGGAAGAGGGGGGCGACTGTTCGATCGCGAACACGAATAAAGAAAATCCCCTCACGCTCAAGCGCATCGACGGGACTGAGTATGGACGGGCAAATCTCGCCGTGCGCGAAGGGAAAAGCGGAGGGAAACGCGACGAAACGCGAGAAGGGAAAAAAAGCAGATCGGGAAGGATGTGATGGAGGAGGGTGCGGGGGGAGAGAAGGGAGAAAGGAGTCGAAAGAATCGGCGTTCACGTTCCTCGTGAACGAATAGCCCAGAGTAGAGGACATCTCTCTTTTCCTCCCCCTTGCTCTCCTCTTTCCGCACTCGTTATATCAACTTACTTGCTGCTCTAGACCTGATCCATTCTGGTTGGCTGCATTACTCATATTACTCCGCCTCGGTGCGTAGTTTTCGTAGCTCGGTCGCTGAAGCTCTTTTAGCTCGTCCTCACACAACGCCGATCTCGAGTCGAGTTACGCGAAAAAGTTCCCAACGCGGCCACGCGCTGTCTCTCTTTTTTTTCTCTCTTCCTTTCTTCCTCTCTCTTCCCTTTACGATCTCGAAGAGTGATCAGCGATACGCGCTCGTAACTGCCTTATATCTTTTATAATGTAATGAAACTCTTATCGGTTATACGCGGAACGATAAGTCGACGGTGACTATCAGTCTTTCGCTGCACGCGATACAAAGGAATCCCGGAGACTGGCTCTGATACGAGAGCACAGAAGAGGCCCCTGCCCGCACTTTGACGTTGACGCAACAAAAATGGCCGAGAAGCGAGTTATCGCGAGCGACATGGCGGCCAATCGTTTCCGCCGGAAATCAAAGCAACGATAGAAATAATACGCGATGTCGAAAGATGAAAATAGATTTCCGCGCCTCGATGCTCGATGACCCGCATTTGAAAATTTATAATATGACGTTGTTTATCGTGTCACACTTTTGCACGAGCGAGAAAAGCAATTTTTAGCATCGCTTATTTCATTTGCACCTTCTGCACTTTATTTTCCTTAAGAGCCTTGCAGAATGCCAGGCACAGACAATAGGAATAGGGAATAGGAATTCGGATTGGTCAATTATTTCTATTCCCTGTTTCTATTGGTTAATGCCTATTTCTATTACCTGTAGCCTGGCATTGTGCAAGAGCCTTTAGGCCGCAGCGCGTATAGAGATGTGAGCAATGAGAGAATCGACCAGTTACATTGCGGTATTTTAAAATAGCTATCTTATATTCTCGACTGTGATTGGTCTTTCAAGCTCTACTGCGTAAGTCTTTTAACATGTCGTACGTGTTAAAAAGTACACACAGCTTTATAATATCGTTGAAATATCATACTTGCGTCTCTAACGTTAAGAATATTTTTTATCAAGCTAACAAAAATATTAGGTTAGATATTAGATTATTAGAAGTGTTTATTTATTTTTTTTACCAGGATAAAAATAATATAAATTTTAGATCTGTGTGTAATTATTGGCTCCAATAATTTTACAAACGAGAAATTGGGTAACTAACCGAAAAATGGCAAAAAGTACTTGATAATGAATTTTTACATATTCCTGATAAACCTACTCGTCACTTCTAAATTTCCTTTCGTCATTTTCTATCATTTTAAATTCATCTATATGTTTCCGGATGCTCATGAAACACTTACAGAAGTATAAGGGCAAACAAGTGAATGTGTACATACAGTTCTTGAATACCCCTCATAAGTTTTTTTGCATTTTTTTTTATTACACCAAATGTTATGTTCAATCATCCTTCTTTGTATCGGTCTTGCCTCCTCTGATTCTTCCAGTACGACGAGCAGCAATAAGACCAATCTTGCGACCAGCACTCGTTCCTCGTTTGACGGTAGAAGCCTTACCGATATGCTGATGGTTACCACCACCGTGAGGATGTTCTACCGGGTTCATAGCAACACCACGAACCTAAAAACGTTCACAATGTTTCAGAAACGACGCACAAATTTCAAACTCAACAAATTATGATAAAAATTAATATTATTCAGTCAAAAAAGCATCTACACGAGATTCTTCGGGTTTCAAATGTCTTAATTACCATCATTAAAAAATTGTTATAAAAAAAAATTTTGTTATAAGAAAAAATTTTGTTATAAGAAAAAATTTTATTATAAGAAAAAATTTTGTTATAAGAAAACGTAATAAAAAAAGAAAACTAAGAAAACATACCTTAGGCCAGCAGTTCCTCTTTGCCTTATATTTGTGGTAGGCTCTACCAGCCTTGAGGATAGGTTTATCTATCCGCCCACCACCAGCGACAATTCCAACCATCGCTCTGTTATTAGAGGGAATAACCTTTTTAGCACCAGAAGGTAATTTCACTCTGGTTTTCTTGGTGTCTGGGTTATGTGCTATTACAGTGGCATAATTGCCAGAAGCTCTAGCCAGACGACCCCTGTCACCAGTCTTTTCCTCCAAATTGCATACAATGGTACCTTCTGGCATAGTACCAACTGGCATTACATTTCCAATTTGGAGATTTGCTGGAAAATTAAAAGTAATGATTAGAAATGATAATGGAAAATTACAAACAGAATATGGTTAACTGAATTCTTCCAATAAAAATTAAATAGTTCTAAGTGTGAACTTAATAATATTGGCTGTGTTCAGAACACACAACTGTTGAGTGAGCGTTCACTGTTGCTGGAATATTCTTCTAGGTATACTTGATAGAATACTTCAATTAAAGATGATATCGTTGTGTTTCCTGAATACAGCCGTTGTCAAAGATAAAAATATTTATTTTATATCATTATTCAATATTGTTCATTTATAATAAAAAAATTTTTTACTAGACATACCTTTCTTTCCACAGTACAAGAATTGTCCCGTGTACATGCCCTCAGGTGCAATAAACAATTCCTTACGTGTTTTAAACTTGTAAGGGTCACGGAAGTGAACAACTGCTAATGGTGCACCACGGCCAGGATCATGAATGATATCCTAACAAAAATAATGTTCTCACTCTTCTAGATCGTTTAAGAGGAAAATTCTTAAAGTACAAGCATGTATCTTCAGAAAGAGCCTCAAATTAGAAATCTTCATTTATAATCAGACGTTATGTCATCATGTATACAAAGTTGAATTTATAGGAAAATTAAGTTATAACAGCACTAAAATATGTTATAGCAGAATTAAAATAAGAAATCGTTATAAACCTTAACGACGCCCTTAATGTATCCATGCCTCTCGGAGAAGTCCAAGGAACGGAGCTTCGGTGCTCCCTTCCTCCTCTTCGTGTGGGATCGAAAGACAGACCCCGCACCTTTACGCTGAGCGCGAATTACTCGACCCATAGTAATTCAGAACTAAAAAAAAATCAAAATATCAAATATCAGTCTAGATGTGTTAATAAAAATTAACGCTGTTTAGACACAACACGCTGTGCACGTCACCTTACGTTAACCTCGAAACGACTAAAAGTACTAAATTTACATTTCAATTCATAAAAATATCGTGCATATCTCGTGTATAAAAAACAGAGGAAACAGAATTACAAGTTTTATCGGATGGATTTCATTGGAATGCATAAATAAAAACGGATATTCTGCTACAAACTAATACTTGATTACATACCTACGAGGCCACCGTCGAATAGAGAACGAGTGCAGGATTGCCAGGTTGTAGAAACCAACCAATGCGCCAATTCCGGAAGACCTAAGTCGCCATCTTCCGCCCAATAGATATAATATGCCATATAGCGCTAAACTTGAAAAACATTTTTGAATCTTGAGAATCAACTTAAAAACTTTGGTTTTGCACCACCGACGAGATAATACTAGAGACCATTGGCCTTACGGGATTTTGTGTACCAGAAAATCTTGCTATTTAACAACTTTATGACGATAAATTTGTCGATAAAAATGTGTAAAATCAGTATGTAAGTGGTAACTACAGAAAAATGCAGTTTCATCAAAATATTGAATATACCCTTATAGAAATATCATACTAAGAATAATTGATAATTACTTATTATCCAGTATTTTTAATACTGAAAATAAGTAATTATCAATGATTCTTAGTATGATATTTCTATAAGGGAACTCGTCCACCATTCACAATAAGGAACCTCAGTCTGCGTTTAATAACTTTAAAAATTAAGTCAAAAGGATAATTATTATTAATTAACGTCAAAATGATAAAATCCAAATTTTTCTTATGGAAAGAAGGATGACTAAGATAAAACATCCTATCAACCAAGCCAATTAAAAAATGTCCAAACAATGCACATGAAGTCAACGTTTCTAAACGTTAATGTTCCTTGCTTACTGGGTAATATCCAAAACAAAAACAGTAATTCTCATAATTTAATTATACTTTTCTTGTACATTTTACCCTTATAGAAATATCATTCTAAGAATCATTGATAATTACTTATTATCCAGTATTTTTAATACTGAAAATAAGTAATTATCAATGATTCTTAGTATGATATTTCTATAAGGGTAATGTAACTTACAATATTTCTATATGGCACAAATCTTTAAAAGACTTCTTAAAAAATTCTAAAAATGTTCTGGAGGACTTGGGAACTTTTTAGAAAGTTTTTTAGAGATTTATCGCAGTAAGCAAGAAATCATTAATATAACGTTACTACAATGATATTTAAAAACCTGTAATATTGTCAAATATGTAGTGTTTAATATTGTATCGAACATCATTATAAACATACTTTGACTGCGATTTGAAAGTTTCAGTAATGTTGAAATAGGCTTGCCATAATGTTTTAATCGTCAAAAATATCTTTAAGATGTTGCATTGATCTCAAATAAATGTTAAAGTAACATTTGAAAAATATATTTTTTGTGATATTTTTAAAATGTTTAAATAGCATTCAGAAAAATCAAATTGCAAAATAACATGTGAAAAATATAAATGCAATATTATTAAAAAATGCCAAAATAATGCACATGAAGTCAACGTTTCTAAACGTTAATTTAATTTTCCTTGCTTACTGGGATGCTACATGGGTTCTACATATAGTTTATATTGTTTACATGAAAAAGGACAAGAAAAAGCGAATACGTTATGTAGAATAATCTACGTAGACATGACTTTGAAATCTACGGCACAACTTTGTAACATAACAAGAATTTAGAATAAGAGTACATGAGACGATATAAGCGAGAAAAGCAACTCAGTCAGCAATCCTCTCCAGGATTTTTGAGCACAGCTACGAAGGAATTGCCAGGCAATAACGGCATGTTCGACATGATACTGGCCGTCGACTGGGTGAGGGATTACACTTCTTTGGCGGAAATCCAGATAAAATAGTAGCCTTTGGTCACGGCACCGGTGCTAGTTTCGCTATGATGCTGTCACTATCGAAATTTTGCAAAAGTAATCAAATTTATTAATGCAAATATATTAATAAATATCATAATTTGTCGCATTGCAAATATACGTTCGCTTATCGCTTACAAATTGTTAACACTCTTACAGATAGCTTCAGTGGTCTGATCGCTATGTCGGGTTCGATTTTATCTCACTTCGCGATCGATAGGAATCCAACGGACACCGCGAAAAACATAGCACGCGACAACGGCTGTCCGACAGACAATGTCCAAGAAATGGTGAGTTGTCTTCGACAGTTACCAGTAGAGAAGCTGATCGAAACCGATTCCAAGTTGGAGAACATTCGGATGATGGCCCAAGGCTTTATCTCCGGATTGTCCAATCTGCTTGGAGCCGGGCTGTTTTGGAAGGTGCAGACGACGAGAGGTAATGTTAATCCTATAAAGCACTGCAATCATTCCTTGACTCGGTTAAATTTATTATCATTTCAAGATCGCTTCCTAACTTCATGATTGAATCGCCGGAAGATACTTTGAGACTCAACAATTTTCCAACTATACCTCTGCTGACGGGAGTTATGAAAGATGAGACCGGAGATGCTATTTCCGGTGGATACAAGGACGAAGTGCTAAACAAATTGAACACGATTCCAAATTATTTGACTAAAGATTTCGTGCTGCGCTTGCAAGACACTATCCCAAACATACAACAAGGATCGCGATTAGTTCCGCAGGCTTTCAGTGGCTATTTTAATATCTTAGAAGATGACGGCTCTCAAAATACGATTGGAAAAGTCGCAGAGGCTCTTGGCGACTCGCTTTACAACGTCCCGGCATTCTTGACCGTCGATCACTGGTCGAAAAAGGCAAACGCCTTTTTGTACACTTTTGATCATAAGGGAAAGAGAAATTACGGGAAAAACTTTCTCGCTGGGTTACCGATTGTCGACGCTAAGCAATCATCGGATAGTATAAATTGGAATAATTAATTAAAAAAGTATATGGTTTTATTTTCTACATGTAGCAATAAGGCGATTCATTTTCTCATAGGTAACTTGAATCATGGAGACGACTTAGGATTCGTCTTCGATCAAAATACTATAACTGGCGAGAATGATGGTCGAGGATGATGAATCATGAAGCAGATGAACATGTAACTGAGATTTTTACAGATATGATAGCAAACTTTGCGAGAAGCGGCACGCTTAATATACCTACTATATCAAGTAAAAGTATTTTGTCGCCAGACATAATTCCGTCATACTCGAACGAAACTAATTCTTTCGTCAGTATTACAACACTCCGAAAAGCATGAGCAATTTTCGGTAACGTAATGGAAATCTTACATATCAGTCAATAACCAACGCAAATTACATTGTTAAATTACTCGTTATATTAACGACAGGTACTGCGAAATGGGCTTATGGACCGTTGTGCCTAACCGACTACAATCGCTTGCGTGTAGTCTATACAAAGTGCCTCTGCAATTAATAGAACAAGGTACTAAGGGAACAATATCAGTAATTCAGCAGCCGTTCAACACATTCGGCGGATTTGGTGTCAATCTCAAATCTGACGTTAACAACACGGGAAAATCGACAAATCGAAATAACGACGGATTGAACAAGGATACGGTGCAAGAAAAAACACAGAACGGGCTATTTTCAAAGGTGTCTGTACCGTCAATACCATTCATGGGTTGAACAACTTCGCATCCACTTTTTATTTTTTAATAATATACTATTATTGCAAAAATAAATAAATAAATATATAAATATATATATATATAAATTTATCTAATAACAATTTTTAAGAACAGGACAGTCTATGAAATATCACTGAATAGTTTAAGTGTCTCTAGGTTATCATCTGATTCTTCTTCTTCTTGCTGAATTGCCTCTTCTGCTATCTTTTTTTGCATTTTTTCAGCAATTGGAGAACTTCCTAATATTTTATCTGTTTCGTCTGCAAGTGGCGAATCTTCAAGTAACTCGCATTGTTCCGTATCATCTATAGTAACACATGCAACTGATTCACATTCCATTCCGGTTTCGGTATTAACATTTGTAAGTTCATTGTCTACTTGATCTCTTTTTTGTAATAAATTTCTTGTATTTTCATGTGAATTCTGATCTGCTTGATGTTCATTAAAATTCTTCTCGTTATCGGCTATTTCGACTGGTTCTGTATTGTTTCTATCCTGTCTAGTTCCTGTATGTTTTGGCACGATTATTTTTGATCTTTTACATGTAGATGACATTGCATCTGTTTCCTCAAAAAGTTCTTGTTCACTTCCGTTTCTCTTAAGTGAATTAGTTGCAGTACCAGCAATAGTAATTTCTTCTACTTGATCTTCAAGAAGAAACTCACTATCACTATCCCTGCAAATAGAAAATATTTACAAATTTCTAAAATAAAGATCTAATAGCCTTCTCTTACTTAATGTCAATAATTAAATCCTGAAAACGACAATGTGTTAGATTGAAGAACTAAGCGAGCAATCTGAATGAAAAAAATAATACATTTGTGAATAAACAACATGTACAAAGTACAAAATACGAATATAGTTGACATTATTTACCTTTGTAGCGGTAATTGTAATGTGGGGGCAATAGGATGTATAATTTTTTCCAATTCGGCTAATGCGAGTCTTGCTTCTTGCACAATATTTAAATCAACATCATAAGCTGCTTTATGTGATATTTCCAAATAGTACTCTATAGGAGATATCAATGTAGTATGTGGATTCATTTGTAAAGCCCTTAACGTTTTGAATAATTCCAAGCGGCATTTATTGTGATCCTTATAAAAACTTTTTGCAGAATGGCTCAAGTAGAATTTATACAATAAAGGTATCACTATATTCTGTACGTTCTGAAAGAAAAAAACATAGATAAATCATAAAAACATAATACACTTAAAAAAAAAAA